AGGATAGTATCCGCAAACATTCTGTATATATATTGATTGTATCCTAACATTATACTGACCTTTAAATACTTGAGACATGCTGACTAATTGACACTGGACAGTTTGTATTCATTTTTAATACGATGGAGACTAGTCTAGTCTCAGGTTTATTTCCCAACAATTAAAAATCTGGTGATTCTAGATGCCAGTGTCAATACCAATTCAATTACAAATCGTTCTAAATCTGGTGTTAATCCAATGCTATTATTATTCCAGTCTAGTTGATTGAGATCATGAACCGATTGGTGTTGGACCACCATCGAAAACCTGGGGGCACTGGACGGCCGTTTCCTCCTATTGTGGGACTCTTCAGCAGAAGGCCCTGGGTTCGAATACCGCGAGCGGGATCGTGGATGCCCACTGCTGAGGAGTCCTACAATAGGACGAAACGGCCGTCCAGTGCCTCCAGGTTTTCGATGGTGGTCCAACACCAATCGGTTTATGATCTCAATCAAAAACTTAACAATCTCCACAACCTCTATACTGATATAAATTAATTTTTTATAATTACTGTTTGTGCTAGTGAATTCAGTTACTGAAATATATATTCAAGAACATCTGTATTCTTGCTACAGTTTGATTCATTTTCCTCCATTATAAAGATAACGAATATAACTAATATCCCGTTGATGCGTTTCAGGTAAACATCCTAGATCCATCCCACTGCTAAACACATGCCAGATATACTAAAACTTGAGACTAAATGAAGATAAGGAGTAAATATACTCAGGATGAACGTACTGACCATTGCTCTTACCTTGACGTGGTGGTTGCTCTTGCCTATCGTGATGAACCAGTCGAGCTATACTGACTGGAACAATCGTTTCTCAAGATCCTACAATACCAGAGAGGCTGGTTGGATAGCGGAAAGACTAAAAGCAGCAAACCCAAGGTTCGAGAGCAAAGTTGTCCTGACTGTACAGTGTGACAGCAGTAAGGTGTTTCCTTCAGACAACCAGCATGACAGGCATGCTGCCTTCCCACAAGGAAGGGTGGGATTAGAAAAGATCGACCGTAAAAATGCACACCTCGCCTTATCCCACGTATATCCGTCTCCGGCAGTAAGGTCCCAACAAGTGAGGAGCTAAGACAAAATTTACTCACAGAAAGGTCGTGTGTGACTGACCTCAAGTAGTTCTCTCTTGACCACTGCAATCACGCTCTAAGGTCACTAAGACCAGCTTTAATCCAATTTCCTTTCCAGGTACCTTCAGAAAAAACCTTTCACAGGTGTGGGAAGTGACAACCAGCCAGCAGGCCCCCTTGGCTAAAACCCTAGAATCTCGTACCACTGATGTATGCTGTCTCTAAAACACGCATACTGGATCCTAGTGTGGTCATTCACTTGACCTCACCCCGCCAAAACGGAGAGCCGACGAGACACACCCCCGTGTCTGGCGACCCGGTGGCTAGTTCTCGTGGACTGGCTGGTATATGCATAAGATTAATTACGAGGGCAGAACAAGCACTATTAGAGTGGATCCCCCCTAACAGTCGTCTTTGTGCTGTTCGGCTAAACGGCTCCGTAAGAACTCGGAAAGATAGGGACACACGTCGTTGCCTTTTTGTCGTTTCTGCCTACGCTCCCACCGACTGCAGCTCAGATGAAATGAAAGATGAATTTTACAGAAAGCTATCTGAACTTCTTCAGAAAGCTAAACGTTCAGACATAGTACTCGTAGCAGGTGACTTTAATGCCCAGATAGGTAGTTTAAACCAAACAGAAAGGCATTTAGGTGGGTATTTTAGTATTCCGGCACAACGAACAGATAATGGTGATCGTCTGCTGCAGCTGTGCTCAGACAATCGTTTATTTTTAGCAAACACAAATTTTAAATATAAGGAGAGACATCGTCTAACATGGCGACCCCCTACACCAAACCAACGATGGACTCAAATAGACCATATTGCCATCAGTCATCGTTGGAGAGGGTCGGTAGAAGATTGTAGCTCATTCTGGAGTACCTGCTTGGACTCCGACCACGCCCTAATACGGGCACGCATCTGCTTGCGCCTCACTGGACGCAAAAAAGCCACACTGAAAAGACCCATTAGAAGTGAATTGAGTAGCGAGAAAACCAAAAGTAGGTTCCAGGAACAACTGAGGTCACAATTAAATAGTTCTGAAAACGAGGTTGACCCAGATGTTGCTTGGAAAGCTATACAAACAGCAGTGACATCTACCAGTGATTTAAACCACAGGGTTACGAAGAACCAATTGATTTCCTCTAGGTCTATTGGACTGATGGATTCTCGTAAACTCATCCCATCAGGCTCTGAACACGATGAAGAGCGACAACAAATCAGATCTAGGTTAAGCAAAAGTCTAAGGAACGACCGTGAGCAATGGTGGACAACGAAAGCAAAAGAGATGGAAAAGGCGGCGGCTATAGCGAACACAATACAGCTCTACAGACTAATAAAAGAAACTGGAATTAATAAGTCAAGTGTAAGTCAGACTTTTTCGGGAAAAGACGATACCCTCATCTGCTCTCAGTCCAGACGTTTAGAACGATGGGCGGAACATTTCAGCTGGCCTTCAGCTTCTCTACAACTACCCACCATTACCAGACAGTGTGAATGGAATATTGAAGTAGGTCCCCCAACTCTAGCACAAGTTCAAAAAGCTATAGTTAATCTGAAACGAGGAAGGGCAGCTGGTCCAGATGGATTGGCTCCAGAGGTCTTTAAGGATGGTGGTCCAATTTTAGCGATTAGGTTGACTAATATTTTAGCTAAGATCTGGGAGTTAGACGTTATTCCATCTGACTGGTCACAATCACTTCAGTCAGTCAGTCAGCTACAACGTAGGACCAGGCACATATGTGCATCGGTCCAGGTTGCCATACCTCATTAGCACAGCAAGATGAACACCGGATTCATAGGAGTGGTTAGGTCAAAGGTTGCAATAAGGATATAGTATAGGAAGAAAGAATTAGTTCGTAGAAAGAAAGATATGAAGTGATTTTAATCTCTTAGTTTAAGGGAAGACAGGGAGTGTATACACCGACGCCATTGTGATCGATTCTGAGCCATGTCACCAAGAGTCTCCAACCATTGGTTACGAAAGTCACAATCACTTATCGTCCCAATATATAAGAGACGGTTAAAATCATCCTGTGACAACCATAGAGGGATTAGTTTAACTAATACAGTACCTAAAATACTAGCCTCGATAATTATCAGACGCTTAACTAAGACTCGTGAACTGCAAACACGAGAGAATCAAGCTGGCTTCAGACCTGGTCGTGGCTGCATCGACCACATATTAACCATTCGTCAGGTTCTAAAACACAGGCATACGTATCGGCGTCCGACAGTGGTGGTCATTCTTGAATTAGAAGCAACATTTGACTCCGTAGACCGCGAGATTCTGTCCCAATGCCTGTCACTGAAAGGCGTATCTCAGAAGTACCTAAACCTTGTGAAGGCTCTTTACTCGAACACTACCAGTCTAGTCAGAGCTTACGGCGAAATGTCATCTGATATTTCAACCTCAAGTGGTGTCCGTCAAGGCTGTTCATTATCTCTATTTTTGTCGAACTTCATCAGAGACATACTGATGGAAATAACGCTATTCACAAACTTACGGACACTGATCATAGACTAAACAAGTATGATTTGAATAGACCGTACATCATTCTACAGTAAGACAACTTCATCTAAATACTTAAGATTAGAAAGTCTTTCTCTAAAAAGAGGTGACAACACCACGTCCTTCCTGTGAAGACAGTTCCGCAATGTCATTGGAGGCAATGATGGAGGAATGTTGATATTGTGCAACACTGCCTAACCCCACTGTCAGGTCGGATCAGTGGAGAAAGGTGGTTGTATGGTCTCACTCTGTCTGAAGTGTTTGTGTATAAAGACTTTGAAAATCTTGGTACTTAGACGTCATGTAGATTTATGGGTAGAAAGACCGATTCCAAAGTCGACATTGTCAACCAAGGCCATAAGATTTGAATAACTTGTCGATTGATAACAGTCCTCACACATTTGAACTTCTTCCTTATAGGATGATTCTGAAATATTGAGGGTTAGTAATGTTGTAAATAACAATCATATACTTAAATGCTGCAGTACAACTAAGATAATAGGAAAAGTATACGGTTCCAAATATCGGAAAGAGTATTACACCTAATTTATAATTCAGTAGTCAAATGCACTAGCCTGATCTGTTATGAAATCACATTTACTTAATAAACAAACTCAAATGTACATAGTGTACTGCATTTGTAGTTACTACCACGACAAAGGAAAATTAGAGCTGCTTGGAAAATGTTTTGGTCTATAAAGACTTAGGGGCAGTGTTATTTTAGACAGTATGAGAATGTAATACAGAGAAATAATTCAAGGACCAAGATGTGAACTCGACAAAACAGACTAGATATGTATCCATTATAATGGATGGAAGTTAACGTTAGACAAAAGAAAATAAAGGCAGATTTGGAAACAAAATACTAGAAACAGAACAGGTCAATTTATACCCAATTCTTTATTTTACTCTCTTTCTCTTTCTCCATATATATAATGCTGTTTAACAAAGACTAGACCATGTTCAAAGTAACTGGAGGTTGATATTAGCCAACCTGTAGTTCTAAAGATTGAAGATTTGTCACACTTCTGAAAAACCCTAGCAACTGAGATTAACCAGTGAAATAAGCTTACTTGACTTGATGGGATAGCCATTCAGTACACATCGATGTTATTGCTACGAACTGTAATTCTAAATATGTCTTAAAAGTAATGTAGACTACAGTTGGATAATAAATTATCGACTATATAATCTCTTGCAAGCAACCATGATGCACACAAATCGGAACAGGAGAAAGGTAGTAGTGCTCAGAAAATGTTTGCATATAATAAATAATTACGAATGTGCCTTATGAATAAAGAACAAGATGTAACGCAGGTAGAATCGATATATATTTTAGGTTAAAAATTACTTGGTGACAGAAACTTCATTCAGTGGCTGTGGGCGTTTGTGTATTATCTCCCGATTGCTTCTTTACCCCAGAAACAACATCATCGATTCGCAGCAGCAAAATCGCAGTCTAAAAATTAGCAAACAGTTAAGTGTAAACATACCTCAATTGCTGTCTTGAGAGTTTGGGCCTTGACTGTCAAGGGGTCCCAAATATCCAGTTCTTTCATATCGACAATCTTTCCAGACACTCCGTTCACACCAAATGTCCAATATTTAGCAGGATCAGTAGCATGACGAGCACGAAGCTCCGTGATAAGTCGAAGAACGTTTGCACCACAGTTTTTAGCTAACGTCCTGGGTATCACTTCTAAGGCTTGTGCCATTGCGAGGTAAACCATTTGCTGAACGGCAGAATTAACTGATTTTGATTTTTGAGTTAATTCTTGTGCCAGGGCCATTTCAATGGCACCACCTCCAGGAACTAATCGCTGCTCCAACATAACATTACGAACTACATTCATGGCATCTTGCAAATTGCGCTCGACTTCATTGAGTACATCCTTGCTGGCACCTCTGAGCAGAATGGTGCAAGCTTTGGGATTCTGTAAATAAGTGTTTATCTCTAGAAAGACTCACCGTGCACTTCGTTATGAATGTGAAATACTCGTCTCCTATTGTTTTTACTTCAAAAAGACCAGCTTGGACGCCGATATCTTCCTCCTTGATTTCTTCTGGTCTATTGACAATAGTAGCACCGCATGCTCTCGCGATGCGTAGATTGTCTGTTTTTCTGAGTCGCCTTATGACGGATATGTTGGCTTTGCTCAGATAGTGTTGAGCGAGGTCACTAACTCCCTTTTCGGTAATAAGAACATTGGGACTATATTGGATAATTTGGTCACACATTTCCTTGATGAAGGACTCTTCTATTTCTAGAGCACGACTAAAAATGAATAGGTAATGCAAATGCAACTTACGTGAAGTCCTTATCATCTGATAACTCCATTGTTGTCTGGCTTTCCCCTTTCTTATACTCCAAATTACAGTCCATAAGCAAGATCCTAGGATTCTCTATTCTTCTTGACATACGAGGGTGTACAACATCTTTATTAAACATAACGCCATCAAGAACAACCGAGTCTTCAACAGACCCACCAGGAATCTGAGACTAATATGGTTTCAACTTTTCTTACCTTTTCCACTTTTGCGTACCGTTTGATGTCTATTTCTTTACGACCGTCGGTTTCCACTGTTACGATTTTTACGGCGTCATAAGCAATCTTGCAGGCTAGGTCGGACCTAACTATGAGTGATTTAAATATTTATATTACCATTGATTTATGAGTTTTGTCCCAACACAACTTTGAATTATCTTTTGGACCTCTTGTTCATTTGATGCATCACATGGAACACTTGAGAATACACAATTTGTATTTTACATTACCTCAATTTTTCACGAAGCAATACAAGCATTTCATCGAGGCCTTTTCGGAATGAGGATATAATTTTTGTAGCGTGCACCTGTTTTTCCAAACAGGGAGCAGCGACTGCTAACATTTCTCCACCTTAGAGACATGCAATATTTAGAAAAATAGTAACGCACTGAGGATAATTACAGAAGTAGTACCGTCCCCAACTTCCTCATCCTGAGTCCGTGCGATTTCTATCATCGATTTGGCGGCTGGGTGCTCAACAGTAATCTGAAAAATAAGGGGACATTTGTTTCCAAACCTCTCTCAATATTGCATTTCCATCATTAGTCATTACTATCCCACCCATAGGATCCATGAGCATTTTCAACATTGCCCTTGGTCCTAAGCATGTTCTTATTACTTCTGCAACAGTCTTTCCCGCTTCAATGTTCGCTAACTGTACAGATTTTCCCTGTTCTCCACGAGCTGTACGGTCTAGAGAAAGTTAGGACAGCAAAATGTACTTACTTAGGACAAACAAAGGTGCCCCAGATGGCATGCTTCAAGAAACCAACAAATATATAACCCGCGGGGCTATCAACACACCGAATGAATGATCCAGTGAACCAATAACCAATAGATAATTATTTATGGTCACAAATGGTTGTAGAGGAGTATAAGGATTTTCATGCCAAGTAACAATAGTTTGCCGATGATTTCAAAAAAAGTAATAAATTTATGACTGTATGGAGCGCCATTTAAAAAGAACTGTGATATTACTCCTCGTTGAGGTTAACTTACTGTTTTGATCGTAATTTACGTATCAAAGTTACTGTTTCCACTTTAATTGAGTGTATTTCAGTTAAAATGATATGTTACTTGTGTGTAATAATTTGCTTTTGTGTATTTATTGCACCGAAGCATAGTTGGTCGACTTTGACTTGATTGATTCGGTTAGTGTCTGAAATTTTTTACACATCCATTTTTGAGTGCTCAAAGCCTAACTTCAATTGGCCTTGCGTGTTTTGTTTTTCGAGCAAAGCATTACTCATCCATGATGCAGTTACCCTTCTGGCGTTGGTCAGTCAGTCAGTCAGTAACAACGTAGAACTTCGTACGCACGTACATCAGTTCGAGTTGCCACACCACATTAGCACAGAGATGCAGTTGTCGATTCAAATCCCATAGTGGTAGAGGTAACAAGAGCATAAGCAGTAATCGGGAAGATTAGGGTTTGGAGATGTTATTTAAAGAGTATAATCCAGTGAAATAAATTTGGAAAGATAAAAAAGAAAGGGACATGAAGAATTCAGAAGATTAGAATTTGGGAGAACACAGAGAGTGGATGCACCTGCGTCATTGCAAACGATTTTGAGCCATGTCATTCAGGGTCTCCAACCATCGGTTGCTATCATCTCGCGGTCCCCAACCAGGTAGTCTACACCTGCCAACATGACTCAGTCCACTTGTCAGTGACTTCATGGACTTGTGCCATGTTTTGGTTTGGCCGCCTCTAGCTTTCTTCCAACCTACTCCTATACCACTGAACATAGCACGTCGAGGCAGTCGGTCGTTGGGCATATGTAACACGTGTCCCAGCCATCTCAACTGATGAAGTTTCACTACTTCATCAATTGATTTGCCATCCTTACCTAGTACCTGTTTCCTAACAACTGTGTTACTTACTCGATGGTCCCATGATATACGAGCAATGTTTCGAAGACACCTATGATCGAATACTAGTAACCTACGAATATCCTCTACTCTTACCGGCCATGTTTCACTGCCGTAAAGTAGGACGGAACGAACTGCTGCGCAGTAAACACGTCCTTTGGTTGATAGACGGATATCTCGCCTACGCCATAAATGACGCAAATTGGCAAAAGCCAGTCGAGCCCTCTGTATCCGTACTGAGATTTCGTCACACACCAGACCGCAAGGGCTGATGAGACTTCCAAGATAAGTGAAGCGGTCGACACACTCAACTACTTCACTCCCTATCACTAGTTTGGGTGTCGATGTAACCCAATCCTGAAGCAACACTTTGCATTTCGAGGGAGAGAATCGCATCCCGAACATGCTTGTATTGTTGCTTAGAGTGGTCATAAGACTCTGCATTTTGTCAGCGTCTTCACCAAATAAAACTATGTCATCAGCATATTCTAAGTCAACAAGTGAATCTCCCGATAAAAGTTCAACCCCAGGAAATTTAGATGAGGAGAGTGTTATCTCTAAAAGTACGTCAATGACAAAGTTGAACAAGAATGGGGAGAGTGGACAGCCCTGACGAACACCACTTGAGGTGATCAATTCTGATGACAGTTCGCCATAAGCTTTCACTCGACCAGTTGTGTTCGAGTAGAGAGCCTTTATAAGGTTAATGTACTTCTTTGGTACTCCTTTCAGTGACAATGTTAATAAGGGCTGTACCTGTAACATGTGTACTGAAAGCAAAGAATGCGTCGATGTCGTAAGTGCCGTTACGGCACGTGCCAGACACCCAACTGTGCAACATGTAATAGGTACGTCTTTCCCGGAACAACTAACGTTCAAAATACTATTACATACTGGTGTCCAGGTTGCTACAGCAGCAACTAGTACTCCAGACAAAACCACTATTGTCCCAAGTAGTACTAATTTCGGTCCTGCGACTGATGGGAAATGGATGACACCGAAACATAGAAATGAAGAAAAGGTAGCCAAAAACAGCGCCCGTTTAATTGCAAGGCCCTTGGTGGACCCATATCCTGTCTTGCAAATTACCCCTCCGAAGTGACAAATTAAGACAATATTTAACTCCATCGTAAAAGGGAAACGTTTGGCCTCATCATACATTGTTGTGAGTCATTCGCTCGACTTCCACAACCCTGTTACGAGAAAAACCAACGGTAAGTTCATAGCAGTTAACAGGCAGGGTTTGACACAACGATCGAAAGTTGTGAACACGTCTTTCAAAGAAGTTAAACCAGTTTCCAGTTTAATTGTTATGAATCTAGGGGAATCGAAAGACAATGATCCTGCTAATAGGCATGCATGTGAGCTGGAGTTCGTGAAATTAACCATCAGAAATATACTGTCTGAGGAGGCCTCAGGAGTAAATATCACGAAAGTAATAAGACTTGGTAAATGGTTTGGGGCCGAGACCCAACCAAGAAGGATCTTGAAGTTGGTACTCGAGGGTTTTGATGTAAGAGACGTGATACTGAATATCGCATGCAAAACTCGTTATTCAAACATTAGCGTCTAACCAGATTGACCGTTTGAAGATCGAATCATGTGGACGAATGTCCTTACGGAGTTAAAAACTCGGGAGCTAACAGACGAAACGAACGATTCTCAAAACACATTAAATTTGTGCTACACGAGAGGCCATCGTCTTCGAAATAAAACGTCTGGGCTAAGTTTGATGTAAGTCCTGATGTGATTTTTGTCACAAAAACGCGGCTCACCGCAGGCTACATCTGTATTAAAAGTCAAAGTTATAAGTCCCAATAAAGGAGGCATGATGTTATATGTTGGGGATCACTTTTGTATACAATCAACCATATCAGAGGCGCATGTCTGTGGTACATGTGAGTTAGCATGTTGTATAATTAAGTCTAGAGACGGGTTAATGATTATATGAGGAATATACCGTAGTCCGTTTCGTCTTACTAACGACCTTGTCTTAAGACGCATCTGTTTTCAGAGTAAGGCAGAATGTGGCCTTACCATTGGAGGCTTCAATGCACCGCATATCAACTGGATTGGGCTTACAGTATCAGGTGAAGGTTTCGATAGCAACCTCCTTTCAACCATTATTCAGTGTGCACTTGCAAAATGTATCGCAAAACCGACACATTGACTTGGAACATGATTCGTCATTGCTAGACCTTGTACTCACGCACCATTGTGAGGATCTCACCGACTTTCAGCACCTTTCCCACTGGTGACTAGTGATCATGTTGTGTCTTAACTTAAATTTCGGACACATGACATACAATTTGTATCTTGTACCCCCTGTTCCAATACCTGGGGAGCTAATATTCCGACAATCAGAGACTATGCTATCTCGACTGGGGCGGTCGATAGACGACGAATGGAATAGGTTTAGGGCTACAATCGAGTCCGCAACATCGTCGTTTATCCCATGGTCAAGACGTAAGCCATCACATTGCCCTCCATGGGTTGTTAAGGAAACCCGAAATCTATTGAAGCGCAGGAAACACTTCGAGGACTTATTCTTGTCAAAAGCATACGAATCATCCTAGTGTGAATACAAAACAATCCGGAATAAATGTAAAAAGACCATAGCTTGATACCGTATGATAGTCGCGCTTGTCCGAAAAGATTGTTTTCGTACGTTGAACGGAGAACAAAAACTCAGTGATGGTGTTTCCCAATTACAGTTGCGCGACAATAAAGATTTATTAGCTGAATGAGATCTGGCAAAAACTGAGAGTTTATCAAAATATTTTGGCGAAGTCTACTCCACGTGTTTTGTTAAAAATGCTTGTCCTAAACACACCGAAATACTAACCTTAGGACCTGAACATGTAACTGAGGAAATTGTGCTTTTATTGACCACTAACCTCTAACCTTGTAAGATATCGAGCCCTGATGGGTTACATCCATGACTGTTATCATCTTTTGCTGACATCATTTGAAGACCACTCGAGATGCTCCTCAACATATCCCTTTCATTCGCTCAACTCCCTAGAGACTGAAAATATGCTGTAGTAAGTCGTATATTTAAAGATGGTCGGATACAGATTGTATCTAACTACCAACTTGTCAGTCTAATCAGCATAGTTGTGACGGAACGAAGACTCTGAAAATCCCTCTTCATCATTTTGTTGGACAGTACTGTCGCTTATTTGTTTCCTCTCCTTATCGTGTATTCTAACCTTCATTCGTATCTCTTTTAATCACACTTTGCATTCTTTAGTCTTCCTCGTTTCAGCATACATTATGTGACTTTGATTAAAGACTTACTTTATGTTACCTAAGTTTTCTGTCGCATGTTGTCGGATTATTGACAATAAGATCGCATTTGACTAAGCTCAAGGTCACGGCGTGGTTCAGTGTGTGACTGTGTAGAATTATGGTCTACTATGATATTAGTACTGCGTTAATAATAGATCTAATCCTAAAATTGTAGATTTGTCATGATATAACTGCCTAATTTATAAGATCTTACGTGGAAGTCACACCATCGACTACACCAACTCACTGTATCGTAACAACTACCAGTACATGATGAAGAACAAGCTTAGGCTAGAGAAAGAACAATATATTTAATATGAATAGAAGATATAAAGTAACATTCAGTAAGGACCACGCCTGCATGGCCGAGCCATGCCACTCGATCAACTCCAGTCAATTCAATTCATTGTTCCCGCATTTTCCATCGTTAGGTATTTCTCCGTGTTAAATATTGAATATCTATTTTCCGAGTAATCTCGTATTCAGCTTTGAGGAGTGTGTGGTTATGGTCCAATGCCACTACACTACTCTCCCACCAGAATCAATGCCACTACAACTGTTAACTTTTGACTGTCTCCTTGAAAAAACTGCCCG